ACCCGAAGGTTGCAGGAACAGCAACTCATATTCCGCTTGGGAACCCTGCAGCCCAATGGTATCAATGTGGATTTCACAAGTTTCAAAATCTCCCCTCCCCCCACCGCATCCCAAAACCAGTCCAGCTCGTCCCTGCCTCCCTAACCTGTTCTTCCTCCCACCTATCCCCTCCTCCCACCTCAAGCCGCACCTCCATCTCCTACCGACCAACCTCATCCCGCCCCCTTGACCTGTCCGTCCTCCCTGGACTGACCTATCCCCTTCCTAACTCCCTACCTACACTCACCTTTCCCGGCCCCATCCCCGCCTCTTCGACCTGTTTGTTTCTTCTCCACCTATCCTCTCCTCTATCCCTCTTCTATCCGCCTCCCACTCTCTCCCTATTTATTTCAAAACCCCCTTCCCCTCCCCCTTTTCTGATGAAGGGTCTAGGCCCGAAACGTCAGCCTCTCTGCTCCTATGATGCTGCTTGGCCTGCTGTGTTCATCCAGCCTTGCACCTTGTTGTCTCGGATTCTCCAGCATCTGCAGTTCCTACTATCTCTGGCCCTTGAATCTGCTGTGTCATTCACTAAGATTATAGATGATCTAATCTAGGCTTCAATTCCACTTTCCTGCCTGTTCCCCAAAATCCCTGACCCTGCTATAGACCAAAATTCTGTCCAATGTAGACTTGAATATTTTCAATGGCTCAACCTCCACTATTCTCTGGCACAAAGGATTTCAATGATTCATGACCCTCTGAGACACCCCTTATTCTGAAACGACACCCTTAGTTCTATGGGTCCCCCATGAGGGACATCATTTTCTCAGCATCTACTTGTGTGGATCGTAGTTTAAGATCTGTTGGCAATCACTTTTACCACTTGACTGAACTTAGCATTTCTCTGCAGGGAATTTCAAGTCAAACATTACAACCAGCCCTACGGCAGAGGTTTCCAATTTATTAGGAAAGGGTTCAATTGCTGGACCAATTCTGTGAGCCATATAATGCTTTGAACTGAAGCAAAGTGAAAGAAAAATCAATAAGCATTTAAATGTGATTCCAAAGAACCAGTTTTAATGGCATTCAGAGTTTACCTCAAAGCATTTCCTACCTTGTTTGAATTTAGTTATTCGATATCTTTGCTTTTCTCTTCACCTGCTTCTCAGGCTTAGAGAAAGAAAGTATGTTCTTACAAGAAATAATGAAACACAGATGTTTATCCAGCTTGAGAGCCAACAAGTTAGAGCAAAGTGGTCAGGAGCTGCAGAGCCAAATGCTGTGAGTGTGGAGCTAAACCATTTTGTGTACATTGCAGTGTAATGGCAGCGGTCATCAGCTTTCTGCCAAGTGTGAACATAACCGAAGTTGCTGCAGAAGTTACGACTTGCATGACAAATGTTGCATTCAGCAAATGATTTTTTAATGTCAACTGGGGAAAAAAAATAGCTGTAGACCTGAATGTCCTGAACCTTTTTTCTGAACCCTAAAGTTGGCAATTATGTGGTCATTTTGCACGTTAAACTGCTGGAACCAGAGAATTGGGAAACACCAATGCATTTAATTTCAGCTGGGAGCCACGTTACAATTTACTGGTGTTAAAGTAACGTGTGAATGCTTGTACTTTTAGTTTTCCTTTCAGTACAGTACATGCTGTTGTTACTAATTACTAGTGTCTTTTCTCCCCTTTGTCTCTAGAATATTCTATGTATCACATGATTCCCAGGATTTAAAGATATTCAGCTATATTGCCAGGGATGGCATCAGCAACACTTTTCGATGCAATGTGTTTAAATCAAAGAAAAAGGTTTGAACCCTTTCTTGTATTTTCTGTGAGAGGTAGATGCATGTGTCTTATAATCAGCGTGGAACACGGATTCATTTTCATGAACAGAAGTGGCCCAAAAAACAACTCCTTTCATTGTTGCTGTAGTCAGATTCCAATATTGAAAGTCAGTAAAGAGAAAACAGGATGGGGATCTTTTCCCTAAAAAAATGAGGTAGCTGAGAGCTGACCTCATGGAGGTCGTTATAATTATGAAAGCATTTGATAGGGTGGACCATTTTGGAAAATTCGTAGCCACAGTTTAATACAGTAACTAATAAATCCAACAGGAATTCAGGAAAAACTGCTTTTGCTCTCAGAGAGTAGTTAAAATGTGGAAATCTGTGCTGCACGAAGTAATTGAGATGAATCATATAGATGCATTACAGGGGACGCTAAATAAACACGAGTGAGGAAGAAATAGAAGGAAATATTGACAGGGTGAGATGAAGCAAGGTGGGAGGAGACCCTTCAGAAGCATTAACACTAGAGTAGGCCTGCTGGGCTGAAAAGCCTTTTCTATCTTTAATAAATGTGATGTATGTTCACCAAGATTCTGTCTAGGTTGCCTTTCTTGATGTGTGAACTGTGCTTCCCGCTTTTTTTTTAAAGTTGAATGAACAAGTCCAACCCAACAGTGTACCTCAGCTACTGCTGGACTGATACCTATATCATGCAGCACTCTAGCAGAAAGCGGACAAAACCCACCCCACTAACTGGCCTAGCTTTGAAGTGGAGGACCTCTTCACCCAGTTCTGTTAGAATGCAGTGCACTCTTATAATTAAAACAATAGACAATGGAATCAAATATATTTGCAATGCAGTCAAATTCAGATCATGTGAAGTTTGTCAATGTACCAATAGTGACATGAAAAATATTACTCTCCATGGAGGATCTTGAGGTCTTTTTCAGTTTTCCTTTAAGATGCTATGTAAAATACTAGTAATCTAGCAACATTTTAAGGCACTTTTTTGTCTGGATGATTTGTAAGTATCTACAGTTCACTGTTCTTTCTGCTTCAGAGCCAAGCAATGCGAATTGTTCGTACAGTAGGGCAGGCCTTTGAGGTCTGTCATAAACTGAGTTTACAGCATGCTAAAGAAAATGCAGATGGGCAGGCGGATGGTGCAAGTGACAAAGCAACAGAAGAACAATACACTGGAGGTAAAGTCAGTTTTTCCAACATAACCCTCCCCAGTGGGAGCTACCTCGAGGTTTATCAGGCAGATGTAGCTGCCAGTGTAGTGTTGCCAGAATCACTTGATGGAGTGGAACTAATGTTAATAATTTTAGCGGCTGGTTTCAGATGTGTCAAGCTGCTGCACAGCATCTGTACTTTGGAAATGTAGTGTAGCTTAGTGTTGTGGGGTTAACAGAAAGGAAAAATGCTTCTGGAAGATGGCAGCAGCAGTTTCCAAATGGTGATTGAGAAGCAGAGTATCATTATTATTGTAAAAACTGAACTGATAAATGTTGTTGAACTACTGTGTAAACCACACATGAAGCACTTTTCTGGCCTCCATATTATTGAAGGAATATTGAGGTTAAGGAGAAGTTACAAAAAAGGATTTACAAGAATAATCCTGTAATTGTGAAGTTATAACAGCAAGGCAAGTCCGAAGAATTAGGAGCTTTTCTTATCCTCTCAATAAAAGGGAGAAACTGAGGGGTGATCTCATATAAGTAATTAAGTTAAGAAAACAGTTTGATCGAGTAGGTGTAGAGGAGATGTTTCCATTGCTGAGTAACCCAAACCTAGAGACTATCCATATGGATAGTCACTAAAAAATCCATTTGGAAATTCAAGAGGAAACTCTATATCCACTAAATAGGTAGAATGTGGAACTCACTACCTCAAAGAATAGTTCCTTAGAATCCCTACAGTGTGGAAACAGGCCATTCGGCCCAACAAGTCCACACCGACTCTCCGAGGAGCATCCCACCCAAACCCATCCCCCTACCCAATCCCTGTAACCTTGCATTTCTCATGGCTAACACACCTAACCCACACATCCCTGAACACTATGGGTAATTTAGCATGGCCAATCCACCTAACTTGCACATCTTTGGACTGTGGGAGGAAACCGGAGCACCCGGCAGAAACCTACACAGACACAGGGAGAATGTGCAAACTGCACGCAGATAGTTGCCTGTGGCTGGAATCAAACCCAGGTCCCTGGTGCTGTGAGGCAGCAGTGCTGACCACTGACCCACCATATCATTGAGATGAATGGCAAAAGTGCACTTAAGTGTAAACTAAATAATGACAAGGGAGAAAGAGATAGAAGGATAGAAAGGGATATAAGATAGATGAAGAAGGATTGGAGGAAGCCAATGTGGAGCATAAACACCAACATAGTGCTGAATAAGCTATTTTCTGGTGCTTTAGAACCCATTTTTTTCTCTCGAAGTATTCGGTACGAGTAATTGTAACTGGAAGTGTCACCAGTACTCATAGATTGAATCAGTCTCTTCAGCACTTCAATCTTCCCACTTTCTTTAAACAGGTCACCAGTTCCCTGGAGTAAAGCAGAATGGGGCTATGGGCAAGGAGGTGGAATCTCACAGCACTAGTGAGTTGCCATGTGAACTGGAAATCATTAACGCAGCGCAAACTCTTAAAGAGAGAAAATATCAGGTACTTTCATTAAGCAGGCTGACTAATCTTCAGATATAATTATTGTCTTCCTTTGCTATGATTTGTAATGGTACTAGAGAGTACCTTCTAAGCTCATAATACTGAAAGTTAAAACAAAATGAGGCTGGTAAAATGACATTGTTAACTGTTTGGAGACTGCATTATATTTCTGCCAAGCGTCAATGAAGGGAAGAATATGGTGAATTGAAATACATGTCCTATATCAGGGTTTTGGGGAGGAATAGTACAGGTTTCTTTTGTCGCAAACCTCATGCCAATTGCTGTCTTCACACATATGCATATACCTGATTTCAACAGCTTTGGACATTTTCCTCTTTAAAGTCGTGCGCATTGTGGACTTCAGTAGAGTATTTTCTAATGTATTCAGAATTCACCAATCAGGTAACAGCCTTTTCCAGTCAGCCGTTTTGGAACTTTAAGGAAGAATTTGTTGTGCTATACGTGGGGGAAGAAAAGTACAAAAACAGCTATTTGCAACAGGATAGAAATATACTCCCAAAAATATAATGTTCAGAATCACAAACCTGTAGGCTCTTGATTGGCCATGCAGAATGAAAATCAGGACTCTGCTCTTTGGCCTGATTGACAACTATTTCTAAATGAACCAACCACTGCCTCTTGTGTTTACATATTAATTCGACCTTGTAGCGTCAAAGTGCCACAAATCTACATTATCTGAGCTGAGTTCTGTATTGATCTACACACTAGTTCAGGCCCATTTTGGTTGCGGAATGGAGAATGAACTCAGAGATTCGAAACTCTGACAAGCTGCAGATGCAATGTATTGCGCAGCCTACTGATCCTCGGAGTTCCAATTTGATTGGAGTGTCAAGCTAGCACCTCAGCTAAGTCTTGGGATGAAGGGAGTGTTCAACACTTTTGCTCTCAGCTGTTCTCTCAGTGACCTGCAGCTGTTTTCTGGAACTGGAAAAAGAACTCAAATTTATGATCGTGTTGTGAGCCATGGCTCAGGCTGCAGAAGAAGCTAAAAAAAAATTGCTCTGCATTGCAAGGTAACCAAATTAGCTTCTGAACACCTATTTCATATAACAGAGATGTTTGATTATTGCATGACCTAAGGTGGCTTCAACATGTTTTGTGTATCAAAAATGCATGAATTTGGGCCTTTTACCTCACCTTTTCCAGCAGCAAAACAGTTAAAAAGATTTGAAGCTTGGAATGAAATGGAGAACTGTCATAGAGTCCCTGCAGTGTGGAAACAGGCCATTTGGCCAAACAAGTCCACACTGACTTTCTGAACAGCATCCCACCCTACCCTATCCCTGCCTTGCCCATGGTTAATCCACCTAGCCTGCACATCCCTGGACACAATGGGTAATTTGGCATGACCAGTCTACCTAACCTGCACATCTTTGGACTGTGGGAGGAAACTGGAGCACCCGGAGGAAACCCACGCAGACATGAGGAGAATGTGCAAACTCCACACAGACAGTCGTCTGAGGCTGGAATTGAACCTGGGTCCCTAGCGCTGTGAGGCAACAGTGCTAATCGCTGAGCCACAATGTCGCCCTAAAACAGATTAAAATATGGATTAAAGGGGCAAATTCAATATTAAATTGTCTAGAGACAGAAAAATTATGAGAGAAAGATTAGAGAGGGAAGAAAGTGACAGAAAGGCTAAATAAGAAGAATCATAACCTTTTAAAATTGACAATCGGCAACAGTTGATTCAACGTAAGAATGTAATTAAAGAGTTTAAATTGTTTCCTTTCTGAATCAGAGAGGTTGATTGACATTGCATTAATAATTTATTACATCAAAAGCTGTTTAGGTTCAGTTCTAAAATGGCATGTTTGATATGAAATCCAGCAAGTACTTAGAAATAAAAGTATTTAATTTTTGTTAAGTACCCTTATTATATAAACTCCCACTCAAAGAGAAGGTGCTGCATTTTGATGACAGGAATATTTTACCATAGGAAACACATTGAGCAGGATCTTTGTAGAAAGCAATGGGATTTAAGCAGCATCAAGCATGGTACCTGCAAGTTCTGGTTATCAAATCTACTCTGGTGATAGTACAAAATGTAATCCGCATGCATGTGCTTGTAAACCTGAATTTTCACTTCCAAGTTGGGACATTCCTCTGCTTTGTAAACTGTGTCCAGGGAAAGTGTGACAACAAGGTGCAGGGCTGGATGAACACAGCAGGCCAAGCAGCATCATAGGAGCAGAGAGGCTGACGTTTCGGGCCTAGACCCTTCATCAGAAAAGGGGGGAAAGTGTGCCCTGATTGTTTGTTTGGATTTCCATTCTGGGCAGTGGGTGAAATAGAGAATCATGGCTAAACCCCCAAGGATGTTGTTTGGGGCTCTCTCACTCTCAGATAATGGCCAAGCTGCAGTCCTGGTGTTGGAAATAAACCAAACTGCTTCCTGTCTCTCTTGTATTTACACTGGGTCTGTTCCTCTCTTGCTAATGCTACTTGCCATAGTGTAAATAGAATACACTTTGTAAAAGGCAGGAAGGTTTGAAATGGGCTGGTTTTCTCAAAGCAGTTTTTGATAAAAGATACTTGCCAATAATTGATTGGAGAGAAACATTTTTAATTAACAATGAGGCCAGTAAGTTAAGTTAGCTGGTCTTTAGCTTAATCTTCATCTAGATGGCAGAGGTTGTAGGTTTGGAAGAGTTGCTGAAGAAACCATGGCAGGTTACTGCATCATATCTTGTGCATGGTACACACTGCAGCCATGATATATCCAGTAATGAAGGAGGTGGGATGTTAGACCAGTGGATGGGCTGTCAGTTACATAGACTGTTTTCCCCTGGCTGGTACGAAATTAAGTGTTGCTGCAATTTAGACATCCAAGCAAGTGAGTTAGAAATCATATGGGCCATGTATATCACACACTAATTAGAGCAAGATTAAGTTGTTTTGTACTCTAATAGATCAATACTGTCTGTGCAGTTTATTATTGTAATGGTTTCACTGACAGTGTATTACAAGTCCTTAGAACCTTATCCTGCATTAATATTCCAGCACTGTTACAGTCAGATGTTAGCAGAAGTGCAGTGATTTTCAAATCTCTGTTAACAGTGGGTCCATGTACCTCAATGGGGATGTCCACTTGGAACATGTAAATAAAGCAAAGAATTGCAGATGCTGGAAATCGGAAGCAAAAAGAGAAATTGCTGCAAATACTCAGCAGCTCTGGCAGAATCTGTGGAGAAAAAATAGAGTCAACATTTCAGGCCCAGTAATCCATCTTCAGAACATAAAGAAAAATGTATCACACCAAAACCCTACCCTTTGCATTAGAAGTATAGACATTCCTTTCCCTTCATGTGGTATATGGATATTATGTTCATTATACTCACATTAATTTGGTCCAATGTTGTCTACTTCGGAACCTAGCATATCATAAAGAGTTAGACACAGATTCTGGGAAAATGCTGTTGGGGACGGGGTCAACTGTGGAACATTTCCTCTGGAAATTCAATTGATTGGATCAAGTCCATGATGTCACTTATCACACTATTTATAGGCAGTAACTCGTGGATAGGAATGTATACTCATTCCACCAGATTTTTTGGTCACAGGACAGGTGCAAAGTACAGCATTTTGTAAAAGTATTCATGGGATGTGAGCATCAAGAGATCTGCCTTTAAGGTGGTAGTGAGCTCCCTTCTTGAACTGCTGTTGTTTTTGTGGTGTAGATATGCTCAGAATGGACTTCCAGGATTTTGACCCAGCAACCGTGAAGGGATGGTGATGTCTTTCCAAGTCAAGATGGTGTGTTGCTTGGAGGGGAACTGGCAGGGGGTGATGCTCCCATGCACATGATGCTCTTGACCTTCTAAGTGGTAGAGGTTGTAGGTTTGGAAGGTGCTGTCAAAGGAGCCCTGGTGAGTTGCTGCAGTGCATCTTCTGGATGGCACACGTTGCTGTCATTGTGCTTACTGCTGAAGGGAACGAATGTCAACATTGGTGAATGGGGTGCCAACCAAGTTGCTTTGTTCTGGAAACTGTCAAGATTCTTGTTGCTGTTGGAGCTGCACTTGTCAGGAAAATGGGGAGTATTCCATCACACTCCTGACTTGTGCCTTGTAGATGGTGGACAGATTTTTGGGAGTTAGTAGGTGAGTTACTCACTGCAGCCTCTGACCTGCTCTTGTAGCCACAGTTTCTGGTCAATGGTGACCCACCAGTATGTCTCAGCAATAGTAATGCCATTGTACATTAATGAGAGATGGTATTGATTTTGGAGGGTTTGCAATCACAGTTACCTGATCTAGACATTCAGCAATTAGTAAGTAATTTTGAGATAGTTTGCTAAGAAGCGGCAGTTTAGATATGACACATTAGTTAATTAGATAAAGAAAGAATACAAGTGTGATAATGGGGGATGGTTCACTGATACCAGAGGATAAACAGACTGTCAGCGTGGAATATTTTGGTCTCGTTGAAGTGGTGGGGACAGCAATATCCTGCTTTCTAGATAAGATGTTGCCTTGACAACTAGAGAGAAAACAATCTTGGGAGATGTGGAGAGCAGGGGATATCTGTAGACTGAGTGAATTTTGTTTAGGTAGCCTTGTTTTAAACATGTTTCATTTGAAATGGATAACGTCAAATGAAATGTTCCTGATTTTTATTTTCTATAGGATCCTGAGAGTGGAAGTCCTTTTGTTTTGTCAGCTCAGCTGCCACGATCTCCCAGCAGTCAGTGCTCCTCTCCTACTCCACTGGCATCCCAACACCACTTGCAACTGCTCCAACACCAGCTTTTACAGCAGCAGCAACAGACACAGGTGGCTGTGGCTCAGGTTAGTCTTGCAACTACCTCATGGTGAAGTCATAAAGAAAAGATCCTGAATCCTCAACTGGACCCATTTAAAATAAATTCAGATCAAGGCCTGAATGCCATCTCCCATTTTAAGTCTGTTTCTCCATTTGTGTGCACAGTCAACAGTTTACTCAGATGATGTTCTTTTTGGTTCCTATACCCTTCGAATCCCTCGTGCTGAAAAGTTTCTGTAAAGCACTGCAACACCTACTTGTGACTGATAGCAGTGTATTACATAAACTGGAGCTCATATAGTACAATGCAGTCACTCAACCAGGCTGCCTTATTTCTGATCCAGCAACATTCATACTCAGAAGTAGTCACATGAGTAAATTGGTAAGTTGACAATACAATAACACAGTAGCTTACAGAAGAGATGTTACATAGTGCCTTTCTTTTCTTGCACTCAGATTTTACCATGAGTTCCAATGTATCTATTTGAATTTTGAAATTAGCTTTCTGTTTGCATTGAATCAAATCCATTGCAAAGCTCGGTTGCTGGATCTTTATAACACCGTTATGGATCTAAACTTTACATTTCTGATACAGTTGCTCTTGTTATAATTGTTACCAGCCACTGAACTGATGGTCAGAGCTAGTTTAATACTCAGCGTTCTCCAACAAAGAAAATCCAATAATAACCTCTTATTGATAGTCCTGACCACAAAGTGAACTGCACATTTTAGTTACTGAAATATGGCATTGGATATGGGATAGGGTTAGGATTGGAATGAGGTGAGAAGCAGGATAATAGTGGAGCAGGAGTGGGGTAAGGAGTGGGATTAGAGCAGGACTGGTTGACTGTCTTCATCTGTGATTGAGCCAGTTTGAGGCAGTAACTAGACAATAAACTGATCCAGTAATCTGAGAGACCTATCCTTTAGTAATATTTGCTCTGTGCCCACCCAGAACAGGCAGGAAGAGACATGACATCCATCAGCTAAAAGACCACAGGGCTAAAATTACTCCCCACTTGACTGAAATGCACCAGGTTAAAATCCACCTCAGGTTGTCCTGTTGACCTCATAGAGGCTGCTTAATTAAAAAGAAAAGCAAGTATCTTCTTGGTTTTTACATGTCTTCAATGTTGTGGAATATATTTTTCATTTTTCATTGACATTAAATGCCTTGGCTTTCACCTGTTAAAGGTGATATATAAATGCAAGTTGTTGCCTGTGAAATGTGACACTACTTTCCTCATATTATATCGTAGCTCACTGCTGGATTGCCACACTGTGTATGTTATCACAGAGCAACATCAGTCTTGTCTTTGTTTATTTCAATTTGCTAAGTTACATATTGTAAGGCATGTATAAAATCATCCGATAATCATTTAATACTTAGCATAGATTTACATTTTCATATAAAGGTGTATGTTCATACTATTTAAGTGTTCATCAGCTGTCCAGTCAGAATGCCAATTGGTTTTTAGCAGAGGAACTTGCTCATTGGAACTGATCTTTTCCCGACCCCGTTCATTTTCTTGCTCAGAAATCTAAAGATCAGGATCTATCAATATAGTGTATTGTGGTTTTATATGGCTGTCTTGCAGATGAGAGGAAAACTACATATTATTATAAAATAAGTGCAAAGTACTGCAAATTCTAGAATCCGAATTAGAGACAAAGTGCTGGAGAAACCCAACAGGGCTCTGAAGAAGAATCAATTTGGACTTGAAATGTTGACTCTGTTTCTTCAGCACTTCCTGCGTTCATTATATCATATGGCATGTTCATGAGGTACTCTTGTATTATTGACAACCCTGCTTACTTATTGCTTACCCAGGTGACAAACAAACTCTTACCTTGTGATAATAAATGTGTTCATTAACCACAAGTAGATGTTGTAAAGCACAGGAAGAAGGCAGTAATAAATTGGCCTGCATCTCATTAATGGTGCTCTGCTTTTCACCAAGTACTAAACTTTAACTACTTTGCTGACCAAATAGCATACCTTGTGTGGTAATTGTTGAAAAATAATTTGATTCAGTGTGTTAAATTTTTGTTTTTAAAATGTACTTCTGGTGAGTACTCCAGTATGGTTTTAACTCTTTGAATGCTGCATGTCTGCCTAGTTTTCCATGCAAGCATTTTGTCTCATTTTAAGACAAGCTCAAAAACCACACGACACTAGGTTATAGCTCAACAGGTTTATTTGAAAACACAAGCTTTCTGAGTCTCTCTCCTTCTTCAGGTGCTCATGAGAGAGGACACAAAAAGACACAGAATTTATAAGTAAACTTATCTACGATCTGATCAATCATTAGTCACTACTTTAGACAAACAATGCTTACACTATTAACACTTTATCATTTTAAAGGCCTCTGTTAGGTCATGCCTCAGCTTGCTCTTTTTGAGAGGAAACAGCGCAGTCTCAATTCTTCATAAAACCCAAAGAACTGTAGATGCTGGAAATCAGGAACAAATTCAGAAATTGCTGGAAAAACTCATCAGGTCTGGCAGCATCTGGGGAGAGAGAGCAGTGTTAACGTTTCAGGTGTCCAAGTTTATAAATGAGCAGTAGTACATTTATACAGTGAAAAGAGCAATTGTACAGATTGGATGTGATCCAAGCAAATGCAGAAAGATTGTTCTTTTGCTATAACCTGATGCTAACAGAGTTCAAATACACCCTACAATCTCCTGTCGTGGCACTAAGCTCCTCTTTTTGGCTTTAATTCTTCCTTCCCACATTCAAACTGGAATTTAGGATCAATTGACAAAGGTCACCATCTGTGCTGCATTACAGAACTTTGAAAGGAAGATCAGTTACCGAAAGGTTAATAAAATCCAGTCTCCCATTCATTGTAGCTCCTGTTTGCACAGTCACTGCAGTGAGTAATATAGGTGTGCGGTGCAGTTTTTGTAGGGGTGCGCTAGCACAACATCACCATGAGGTGGTGCTGTTGGCTGACCCTATGCCATACCCTCTCGGATGTTTGTTTCACTGGATTATTAGGATAGGAAGATTCAAACCTTGCGCAGTCAGCAAAGTTTTGCTGAAATTCTTGCAGTGACAGAAATGTACAAGGTTTACACTGACCCAATTCATGTGCCTTTTTCCTTTAAAAATGGATGGTTTTGTCATACCTGAATATTTTTACTATTAAAAGCAATTCCAAAAGTCCAGTGATCCAAAAGGTCCAACAATTTCTGCTGGGTTTGTGAAACAATAAATCTGCAATCATTACAAACCATTGGATGCTATGTTAGGAGTAGGCTCAGAGCCGCAGAATCTGATAGTCCTCATTGTCCTTCCTGTGGGTTGCGAACTAGCGCATTGGTCGACTTTATTTGTTTAGGTTGTGTGAAGGTTCATAAGTATGATTTCCCTTATTTGCTAAAATAGTTGTTTTCCTTCCCACCACCAGCCCTCCCCATGTGTTCAGTCATTGCACCCAGTCATTCGCTCTCCTAGAGAGATTGAATCATAGAGGTCAAAAGCACAGACAAAGGTCCTCAGTCCCATAGAGTCTGTGCCAGTCAACAGTAACCACCTAACCGTTCTAATTGCGTTTTCTAGTACATGGTCCATAGCCTTGTATGCTTTGGCATTGCAAGTGCACATCTAAATACTTCTTAAATGTTATGAGGGTTTCTGCCTTTACCACCTTTACAAGCAGTGAGTTCCAGATTCCCACCACCCTCTGGGTGAAAAAAATTGCTCCTTACATCCCCTGTTAACCTCCTGCCCTTTACCTCGAATCTATATCCCCTTGTCATTCCTCCTTCCTCAAAGGGGAAAAGTTTCTTGCTGTATACCATGTCAACAACCCTCTTAATTTTATATCTCAATTAAAGTAATCTGGTGTCATAAAATCTCTCACCTCCCTTCTCATAACTGCTTGACGAGTGTTGTAGTGAATAATAGAGTGCAATTTGGCCTGAACGATTAGTCAACTTGTCATCAGGTATTAAGTTAAATCTGTTCTCCTGAAAATTATGTTGTAGAGTAAAACTATGTGACCAGGAGCCTTCTTTCATTTGTAACCCCTCAGTCTCCTGTCCTGTAAGGAAAACAGCACAGCCTTATTGGTTGCTGTACAAGCCTAGAGGATTGGTTGACTAGTAGAAAGCAAAGAGTAGGGGTAAATGGGTGTTTTTCTGGTTAGCGGTCAGTGGCTAGTGGTGTGCCTCAGGGATTAGTGTTGGGGCCTCAATTGTTTACAATTTACATAGATGATTTGGAGTTGGGGACTAAGTGTGGTGTGTTAAAATTTGCAGATGACACTAAGGTGAGTGGTAGAGCAAAGTGTGCAGAAGACACTGAAAGTCTGCAGAGGGATATAGATAATCTAAGTGAGTGGGCAAAGGTCTGGCAGATGGAGTACAATGTTGATAAGTGTGAGGTCATCCATTTTGGTAGGAATAACAGCAAAATGGACTATGTTTTAAATGGTAAAAAAACTGCAGCACGCTGCTGTGCAAAGGGACTTGGGTGTCCTTGTGCATGAATCGCTAAAAGTAGGATTGCAGGTGCAGCAGGTAATTAAAAAGGCAAATGGAATTTTGTCTGTCATTGCTCGAGGGATGGAGTCTAAAAACAGGGAGGCTATGCTGCAGTTGTATAGGGTCCTGGTGAGGCCACACCTGGAGTACTGTGTGCAGTTTTGGTCTCCTTACTTGAGAAGGGATATACTAGCACTGGAGGGGGTGCAGAGGAGATTCACTCAGTTGATTCCAGAGTTGAGAGGGTTGGATTATGAGGAGAGACTGAGTAGGCTGGGATTATACTCATTGGAATTCAGAAGAATGAGGGGAGATCTTATAGAAACATATAAGATTATGAAGGGAATAGATAAGGTGGAGGCAGGGAGGTTGTTTCCACTAGCAGGTGAAACTAGGACTAGAGGGCATCCCTCAAAATAAAGGGAAACAGATGTAGGACTGAGGTCAGGAGGAACTTCTTCACCCAAAGGGTTGTGAATCTGTGGAATTCCCTGTCCAGTGAAGCGGTTGAAGCTACCTCGCTGAATGTTTTTAAGGCAAAGCTAGATAAATTTTTGAACAGTAAAGGAATTAAGGGTTATGGTGAGCGGGCGGGTAAATGGAGCTGAGTCTCAAAAAGATCAGCCATGATCTTATTAAATGGCGGGGCAGGCTCAAGGGGCCAGATGGCCTACTCCTGCTGCTAGTTCTTATGTTCTTATGTTATTAATCTCTCTTCGTGACTAAAACTCTCCAGCCCGGACAATGTCCTGGTTAATCTCCTCTGCACCCTCTCCAGTGCAATCACGTCCCTCCTATAATGTGGATTCCAGAACCGAGCATGGTTCTCTAGCTGTAGTCCAACCAATGTTTTACGCTGTTCCAAAATAACCTCCACCCTTGTCCCCCAACCCCTACCCTTTCTGCCGGCTGCCACTTTCTCCACCATTCACTTCTCGTATCTGGCCCTGGACCTGTTTAAGAAGAACATTTAACAATGCAGGATTTAATAATATAGAACAGAACGGGGCAGATTTCCTTGTTTGGCTGAGAAACCTGATTTAATGGACAAGGATAATCATCCAGGACTCCGCCTAGGCTGGAGTTGAGCAGGAGGGGAGCTTCCAATAATCCAAGCAATGTTGATGTTTGGAAGGATTGAAATTCTGGGAATTACTGAGGATGGTGGCAAAGTGGGAATGTTACTGAACTAGTAATTCAGAGACACAGGCTAATTCGACTGCAGAAGCTGGTGGAATTTAAATTCAATATAAATATAATCCGGAATTGACAGCTGGTGTCCAAAATGGCACAAACTCTCATTGGTTACCTTAAAGCTCATCTGGTTCCCTTTTGGGAAGGAAATCTGCCATCCTTACATGTGATTGCAGGTCCACAGCAATGTGATTGACTCTTAACTACTTTTGGAAATGGCCCTAGCAAGCCCCTCAGATCAAGGGAGGTTTTGGAATAGACAACAAATGCTTGGCTTCTTGACAATGCTGATATCCCGTGAAAGAATAAAGAGAAACTTGAGGTGGAGATGGTAAAATTAACTAGAAACTTGGCAGAGTGTCTTAACAGAGAGGAGAGAGATGGTCTTCTTGAAGCTGAAAGAAACAGAAAGAAAAATTTATAGAAATAAGTGCCATGATGACATTAATAGAGTGAGGGGCAGCACCTTAATTTTCCCAGCTAAATTTGCTAAAAGCACCAGTCAACATGTTCCTCTCAGTAGTGGACTAGAGGGCACAGGGCAAGTGCAGTAGCAGCCATTTTAATCAGCCACTGACTATTCTCCATGGAGCTGTGTGATAGACAGTCTGTCCAAATTCTCACTAATATTTGAGATGGATTTCAATTTCATGGTTAATGCTGTTAACCTGTTGATAATGTTGCTGTAACATTGTAGCCTGCAGTCTGTTACCCTGATGTACTTGTATAGTATGATCTGCCTGTAAAGCATGTAAGACACCACTTTTCACTGTACCTCGGTACATAGGACAGCAATAAATCGAATCAAATCAAATCGGTATTGAATACTTAATCTGTTCACTTGGTATTGCTCTACCCATTTCACTTTTTAGACCAGATGTTACAAATATAAAATTTACCAGATTATAATATTTTAGAACTGTCTCTTTAAGGTAAAATGTCAATAAGATGAGATGGCTTGGTTGTTAAAGGTTAAAAATGGGCCCAGGTTGTTTTACTGGGAAGAAAGTACAAGGTGTTCACAACCACACAATAATGAGCTGGATTTTTGTGCATGGAGAGTGCCACTCCACTCCTTTTTACAAAACAAAAGAGCTCCGCATTTGTGACGTTAGGGCTCCTTCATAAATGTGGGGCTGTACTTTCCTTCCTTGCAAAACAGTCAAGGGAAGGCAAACTGTGCCCCCTCTTCTGAAAGTTACAGGCCAGCATCACAGACAGCCACTTTGACAATTCCTGTGAAAGGTTAAGTACATAAGGTAGTTGTGAGTGTATCTGGGAGTTTAGGGTGCGAGATAAATAGGGTGCCAAGTGGGTAGAGGATAGGGCTCCAGGTTGTTAAGGTGTCAGGTAGGTCGGGGGAGATGCCAGGTAAATGGGGTGCCAGGAGGTAGGGTTCCATCTACCAGATTGCCAGGGCGCAAGGTGGCAATAGAACCAGGAAAGTGATGGAGTGATTAGGGTAAACCAGGGTGAGTGTAAGATATTGGGTCTGGGTCGAATGGGCAGGTTTGGCTCCGAGTGAAGTGGGGTGGGGTGTGGGTGGCAGAAGCGAGTGCCAAGCGGAAATTTCAATTTTCTGGGCAATTCCTTCTGAGTCTGCTATGATGGGGGTCCCAAAGGATCCCGATGTGCAAATCTCACCTACAGAACCAACCATCTGGCTATTGGAAAACCCAGGCCTAAATCAGGTCCATCAGTGGGTAGACTGTTCGAATCACTCAGCAACCTGTTTGTAATGTCAGGTTTTATAAACTGCTATGCTTTAAGCTGTCATTATCGTTGCTAGCTAGAATTGGGTTGGGATCTAGAGAATACGTAAATGTCATTTGTACTTGGATCCACATGACTCACGTTGTATTCAAATAGATTTTAGGAAGGGAAAATCAACAGAAAGCCATTGTGATATCAAATTGCATGTTTCTTAAGATAATCCTGAACTTAACAGGTCTGCAAGAATGAGAGACAGCAATCAGAGTGATCCAGGTAGTCAGTCCTGCACCTGAAGCAGAGAAAATGCTGTAATTATTATTCACCACGGAGAAGCAGCTAGGAGCTCAGGTTCAGATTGAAGAAACCAAGTTTGTGAGGATTAAACAAGGCTGAAAGGTTTGTCTAGCTTTGACTAGAGAGAAGAATCTCTAGGGTAACCCTCAATGTGACAGTCAGTCCTGAGTTTACAGTTGCAAGTCTGGAGAAACATAAAATAAGCAGTTCATTGGGAATGGAAAATAGCTTTTGACTGTCTCTGGGAGAATTGGTGTTCACTTAAAGGATAGATTGAAATATAAACACGTGATTTGGTTGGGGGAGGCCAGTGATTTCTGATTGTTATAAAAATTATATGGGGAAACTTTTCAACTCGTCTGTAATTGAAGTTTCACACATAAAAATATGGTTGGTTTTGTTTGTTAGGGTAAAACTCTTAAAATTTGGATTCTTGTCATCTCACTGAAAATTAGAATTTATTTTTAAAGTTATTAATCTCTACAGGGATTTCTCACCTGAGCCAATTAGCTGCTTGATTGATGTTTGATCCAGTGGATTTTCTGAATAAGGTAGTGCACAAGGATAGAGTTAAGTTCCTACTATCTGGCCAAGTAGCGGACAAATTGGGATCATTTTTGGAGAAGGCCTCAGTGTTTGAAAGAGTAAACATGGCTCATTACTGCTATTCAACATTATTCAGAGAGAACATTTGACAATGTTTACCAAGCATCAGTATCTTTATTCAGCTTTGAACGTCGCCTGTGATTAGCTGCTTTGTTGTATCAGAGCAGCACAGTCTAGGTATTGTCAACTAGACGTAAACACACATGTTTGAAATCTGAAGATATCGTTCAGCAGTTGCCTATAGCTGTTTGCTGAGCTGTGAGCTTATTTACAGTATCATCAATCTGAATGGGTGAGTGTGTAGGATGGAGACCATACTGAATACAAACTTCCACTGTTCATGAATCACAGATTCAGTTCTTTTTGTTGTGCCAGGTGCATCTGCTGAAAGATCAATTATCAGCTGAGACGGCAGCTAGAATTGAGTCGCAGGCCCGTGTTCACCAGCTCATCCTACAGAACAGGGATCTCCTACAACATGTCTCCCTCTTGGTCAAGCAGTTGAAGGATTTTGAGAACAGAATGAGTGCACAGCAGACAGGTAAGGAATACTCCAGAAACTCAACAAGATCATGTTGTCCAATTATTTAGAAAATGGAAGTCTTTGCATTTATATAGTGACTGTCATGACCTAGGAATATCCTAAAGTGTATTGTAGCCAGTGACGTTCTGTTGAACTCTCAGATTGTTGAATTGTTTGGAGTCATAGCTGGCACAAATGGAAAATGGTCATAGTTACTGGAGGTGAGTGATCTCAGCTCCAGGACATCTCAGTAGGTGTATCTCAGGGCAGTGTCCAACACCCAACCATCTTCAGCTGCTTCATCAATGACCTTCCCTCCATCACAAGGTCAGACTTGGGAATGTTCGCCAAAGATTGCACAATGTTCATTCACGACTCCTCAGATACTGAAGCAGTCCGTGTTCTGGATAATGTCCAGGCTTGGGCTGACAAGTGGCAAGTGACGTTCGCGCCACACAAATGCCAGGCAATGACCATCTCCAGTCAGAGACAATCTACCCACTGTCCCTTGACATTCAATGGTGTTACCACCACTGAATCCCCTGATATCAACATCCTTGGGGTTACCTTTGACTGGAAGGTCAACCGGACTCACCACATAAATAGAATGGTTTCAAGTTATAATGTTTAAAAGACATTTGGATAAGTACATGAATAGAAAAGCTTTTGAGGGAGACGGGACAAATTCAGGCAAGTGGGACTAGTTTAGTTTGGCAAAAGGGTCAGCGTGGGCTAGTTGGACTGAAGGATCTGTTTCCACGCTGTGTGACTGTATCACTCTATGACTCTACAAGAGCAGGTCAGAGGCGAGGAATACTGTGGACAGTAACTCACCTCCTGATTCCCCAAAGCCTGTCCACCATCTACAAGGCACAAATCAGGAGTGTGATGGAATACTCCCCAGTTGCCTGGACGTTTGAGAGTTTGAGCATCCAGGACAAAGCAGACCGCAAACATCCACAAACATCTGCTCCCTCCATCACCAATGCTCACCAGCAGTAGTGTGTATTATCTACAAGATGCACTGCATAAATTCACAAAAAATCCTTAGAGAACACCTTCCAAACCCATGACCACTTCCATCGAAGATCAAGGGCAACAGATACATGGGAACACCACCAACTGCAAGCTCCCCTCCAAGCCATTCACCATCCTGACTTGGAAATGTATCGCCATTCCTTCACTGTCGATGGGTCAAAATCCTGGAATTCCTTCCGTAAGGCACTGTGGGTCCACCTACAACACATGGAATGCAGTGGTAAAAGAAAGCACCTAACCACCACCTTCTCAAGGGCAACTAGGGACAGCCAATAAAAGCTGTCTAGATAGCGATGCCCACATCCCACGAATGAATAAGATATACAGCAGTCTTTTTGTTCACAACTAACTGCCACAACCAGCAATATACTAAAGACAGTTTTTTTTCTGTGATGTTGCTTAATAATGACCAGAATCCTTGGTTCACCTTTCTTCAACTTGAAAATTGGTAAAGTTACCTTCTTCTGAGGGAGGCCTTGTTGCACAATGGTAGCATCACTGCTTTTAAGCTAGAGAGCCCGGGGTCAAGTCCCACTCCAGGGCTTGATGGTCAAGGAAGATGTGTTTCACAACATGGGCAAACAGGTTCAGTATTAATTTGTAAATCCTTCCAATACACGCTAATGCCAGGTGGTAAGAGTGGGAGAGCTTTGTGATAGAAGGACATTGGAGCCTCTACCACAGTGCTTGAGAAATGCCCCTCCCCATTAACTCTGTTTGGAGTGTTTGAAAGTTGCCAGGACCCCAGGTTTGACGCTGGGAGTGTGGACTGTAAGGCTGTATATCACACATACTCAATTATACATGCTCAATTACTCACTCACTCACTCTGCCTCCCTTATTCTTTCACATGTTCATTTATTTACTTTCTCACACACACTCATTTAAAGTCACTCATTCATTCTCTGTCACACATACTCAGCTCTTTACATTCTCTCTACGTAAACCCTCACTCGTTCATACACTGTTATATGTACTCTGTTATTCTCACTCACACACTCCTTCACTCACTTGCACACATACACTGTCTCTCACACTCGCGGGGGAATGATCCATTTGCAGCCAGTCCTGCATCAAGGAGTGGACTCCAGACGTCTTGAGAGAAGAGGAGAAAGGAGACGTTTTCTGCCAAGCTGCAGTGTGGAGCAGTCTTCAGCAGGTTCAGGGTTGGGGGTGGTGAGGGGTGCTAATTCCTTCTTCTCTCCTTTCTCCCACTCATGGACTGCTGGCCTCCGACACCCAGTCTCGGACTCACCTTCCACCTGGTGCGGCGTCAGCATGGATTTCCAGTCTCGAGGTGATTCCTCAAAGTGCAGTCCCATCATGGCTAAACACTTAAGAAAAACTGTAATGTTTGAACTTCCAGCTTTATTTCTTTATTTTTCTACTTAAAACTAAGAAGGTCTGCAATATGTAACTTTTAGCCTTATCTTGTATGTTTGATGCTATACTATAATTACTGCAATGTTTAACTTTGTTCTTTCTTTCTACCTTGTTCTAAGATTCTGTACATAGGTACGTGTACCTGAGATGGCACCCTGTGTGGCAACTTTATAGACTTTTCACTGTACTCCTGTACTTTTGTACTTGAGTACACATGACAATAAAATGAAAAATGAAAAAAAAAACATGGCAGCCATGTTAAACTTACTAGGTAGGACAGGCTCCAGCAGTCTTCAACAGAGCCCTCCAGGTCTCACGATGAGCAAGAATGATAACAGAGGCATTACTGATTCTGCTCTGTCCTGATGGGTGAATGATTGCTGTTGTTCAGATGAGGCAGGAACCTTTAAAACATTTAAGAAGTATTTAGATGTACACTTGTCATGCCAAGGCATACAAGGCAATGGGTCAAGTGCTGGAAAATGGGATTAGAATCGTTATTATTGACCAGTATGGATGCGATGTGCTGTAGATCTGTCATTAGCCTGCCAACAGGGATGCTCTGCACCTGATTGGCTGCCCTGGGTACTGACCATCCTGATTGCTCCAGTCCTCAGCCAATGAGTCTGGACCCAACTGGATCCGTTTCCCCTTTGTCCTGCTGCACTCCATGGCTGCCATTACAGATTTGGGATTTATGATTTCCAGATTTCATCCCCTGTGGGGATCTTGACCCACAATTTGGGAAGCTCTGCTTTACCGCCACTGTCCATCGCGCCAGCCTACAACATGCATGTAAAAGTGTATGTTACTGTAGCAATTGACTTCTAGGGACAGTGGTTATCTTTTGAGGATGATTAATATGGGCTAGATTTGTGCCAACAGGCACAGGATTTGATTCCCATTCTGGCTGGGATGGATTTAGGACATACCTGTTTCCCTTACGTGTGGTGCAAGTCATGATGCTCTGGGTCAGACCTACCTTTGAGTAGGAAGGAGAAAAAGAAGATCTTCCCTAAATTCAATAAACACTCCTCAGTACATTAGTATACTGCCCCCTCACCACCCACAAGTACCACAGAGCTCCAATCTGCAGAGTAAGATTGCCAATAAAGCTTTGTTGTTTCATGGAATTTCTGCAGTGTGGAAGCAGGCCATTTGGCCAATCATGTCCACACCATCCCTCCAAACAGCATCCCACCCAGAACCCACAACCCTGCACATCCTGTGGCTAATCCACTTAGCCTGCACATTCCCACTGTGAGCAATTTAGCATGGCCAGTCCACCTGACCTACACATCTTTGCACTGTGGGAGGAAACTGGAACACCCAGAGGAAACCCACGCAGATATGGGGAGTATGTGCTAACTCCACACTGACAGTCACCTAAGGGTGGACTTGAACCAAGGGCCCTGGCACTGTGAGGTAGCAGTGCTAACCACTGAGTCACTGTGCTGTCCCTAAGCCACTGTGCCACCCCATTTGTAAGTATCCCAATCACAAACAAATACCATTTTCAGACTCTGTGCCTTGTCTTTGGATTTGGAAATTATTTCGGAATCTATTGATCTGTTGGTAATGTTTTGAATTCTTCAGACTGACCGGTGCCCATGTTGTGCCAAGTTAGCTGCATAATGGTGACACAATAAGTGTGAACACTCCCACTCAGCAGCCAGGTTATAGAATCCACACACAGTGAAGCAGTCTGGCTTCCCCCTAAACCTCAGGATGTCACTGGGCATTCACAAGTTATGTACGTGGAATGATGTATCCAAGTGCAGTACTATAGGAAACCAGGGTATTAGTCTGTGTGGGGCTGGTCGATCCCTGTGTGCATGTACATCATATCTACCTCCAAGCTGAAGATTCCAGGGGCTTCTCATTGGTTGTATGTGTCTCCAGGACTATTCCTTTGTTGTTCGACCACTGCATTTGGTGATTGTTCATGGAGATTGCGCAGACAAAGTGTGGGGACATTTAGCACCATTGTACTGTGGGTTCAGCTTGTTTTGAATCTACATGACCCTCGGGGCCGTCGGGTGAGGTCAGGAAGGCAAGGCTCTTCGAATTCAGGATTCTCTGACAGGACATCAACAGCTAGTTCCCTGCCTGGAGACCAGTCTAATTGACAGATGAGCTTAGCTTCCGGCCAGTGGGGAACAGGTAGCTGCTGCAGGACCCACAAAGACCTCCCTGGGGGAGACGAGCTGATCTGGAGTGGGTGGAAGGGGATGGTTAATTTCAGTGGCGAAGGTAGAGTCATTGACCCTGACAGCACAGAAACAGACCCTTTGGTCTAACCAGTCCATGCCACCCATAATCCCAAACAAAATTAGAACCACCTGCTTGGCCCAAATCCCTCCAAACATTTCTTACTCACGTACTTATCTTTAAAATGTTGCAACTGTACTCACATCCACCACTTCCTCTGGAGGTTCAGTCTCCACGTAAGTCACTCTGTAAAAAAATTGCCCCTCATGTCTTTTTTAAATTTCTCTCTCTCTCACCTAAAAAACATGTCCCCTACTCTTGAAATCCTTCACCCTAGGAAAAAGACACCTGCCATTCACCTTATCCATACTTCTCATGGTTTTATAAACCTCAATAAGGTCACCCCTCAACCTCCTACACTCCAGGAGAAAAAGATCTCAGCCTGTCCAGCCTTTCCCTATAACTCAAGCCCTCTATTCCCAGCAACATCCTGGTGAATCTCTTCTGAACTCTCTCCAATTTAATAATATCCTATCGTACAACAGGGAGACCAGAACTGGACACAGTCATCCAAAAGAGGCCTCTCGAACGTCCTGTACAACGTCAATATAACGTCCTGTACAACGTCAATATAACGTCCCAACTCCTAAACTCAAAGGTCTGAGCAATGAAGGCAACCATGCTAAATGCCTTCTTAACCACCTTCTCTATATTTGTTGCAAGCTTCAAAAAATTATGTATCTGAACCCGCTAGGTCTCTATGTTCTACAACACTACCCAAAGCCCTACTTTTAATTCTATAAATGCTGCCCGTGTTTGTTTTACCAAATTGCAATACCTCGCATTTATTCAAATTAAACCCCATCTACCATGCTTCAGCCCATTGACCCAATTGATCAAGATCTCTTTGTAATCTTAGATAGCCTTCTTCACTGTCCATTATACCACCAAATGTGGTATTGCTGATCCTTGAGTATGGTGGAGATGGGAGCTTAGAGGCTTCAGTGGATAAGGTTGGTGGCCTGAGAAGCAGATCGAAACTGGAATTGTTTCCGCAGTGTGGGATGCTGGGAAACAGGGAAGTAAGAGGCCTTGTCAAGAAGACCTTGGAAGGGATAGTGTGGAGAGGGGCAGTTGCCTGGGCAGGAGATGACACAGCAAAACATTTTGATTCCAGCAGGTGGGTTTAAAGGACTGGAATAAGCAGCAATCATCTCAGTCTAACTGCTGGGTTTCCCCAAGAAAACCCAGTCACTCTCAGTTACTTAGAAAAGTTGGAGAATAATGTATCTAAATTGGCAACCCACTTCCTATGAGCTGATGGGTGAAGACAGCAGATATTATTTTTATAAAAGCCTAAAGTCCGAGGATGAGATCACTGCAATTGTACTGTATCCTCTGGTTATGGGATATAGAAATATCTGCCACGTCCACACATTACAATAACCTTTGCAATATGTCTAATGTAGAGTTGGCACTTCTGGCATCTGCCTCTGATGCGATATAAAACACTGATTAGAAACATCACTTCGCAAATTCCAAATGTACTATCCTGTAATATCAGTAATAATTGTTTGCAACATGTGGGAATTATTTCTACATAAAATGATGCTAAGCCTGTGCAAAAAGTGGATTACCATAAATAGATTCTAACCTTGAGAAGCCTGTAATTGACTAAATGATATTTTATCTTTTGTTGTTTCCTCAGTTGACCCGACTATGAGCTCCATTTCTGAACAAATTTCATTATTGACTCTTCACCACCACAATCTGATAATGAATGGACCTTCCACCTCCACCCCAGGAAGTGTTCCTATTGCTTCTGGTAGGCCAAGCGCATGGACCAGCCATGACAACAATCAGTCATTCGCTAATCTCATGAATTTGGATAAAGAGAACCAAGATTTAACGATGCAAAGTAGGCACTGCCAGACAATGACTGAGAAGAAAGAGGAGAGCAGAAGGATTGAAGGCTCAGAGGGCAGTGAAAAAACTGTTGCCACTGGTGAGATTGCTGCTGACTTTAAACTGGAAGACCCGAGCCTGGACATGAAGAATGGAAGGTAAAGTTACCTCTTTCTGCTTGCTCTTTCCGAACTGTACAACCCACAATCCTACAATCTTACCTCGCTGCCTATTTTGCCCTCTCTCAGTTTGGAGTAAGGAAGCAAACAGGCTACAGAACATTGGATCCCCAGTGTTTTAAACATGCCCTTCACTCTGTGTCTATCACTGAGAAATGTGAATTGTGATCACACACACTGTCAACCAATCGTTTTCCTTTTGTTGTGTGGTGATTTTGTCTGCCTGACAACAAGAAGAAAGGAAAGAGAATAAATAATCTACGATGTCTCCTTATCACCAGAAAAAGTGCTGCGGCTAAAATATCGTTTCCCACATTTTTGTCAGTTTTCTCACTTTTGGGTTGCTGTGTAATATTTAAAGAAATATTTCTATCATCTGCATGTATCACCTATTTGATTTATGTGCCTCTTTTCTTTCTTTTCTCCTCCCCTCCTCCTTTCCTGAGTTCTTCAGCAACAATATTAACACTCGCATTCAGATTTCATGTGAGGAGCCCACCTCACCCAGTCCCACCAGGGACAAAATTCCAGCTCTTTCGTAAGTTTTTATAAGTTTGGTCTAATTTCATTTCTCCGCTTTGTGACTGTGACTTTCACCCCTTCCTCCCTCATATGTCCAAGGTGCTGTCTGTTGGTGAGGTAGGGTTCTACGATTGAGAGGAAAGACATGTCTGCCTGTCAGGAACTCTCACCCAAGTCAGGAATCTTTCCTGTTGGATTGTTCTCCTGATTCCATCCTTGTATCAAATTTAATGTGCACACATAAGGATGATCAGACATGAATCAGAAAGCAAAGTCATTCTGCTGGTCTTGTCTCAAGATGCTAAAGTCTATTGTAACTGCTAACTTGACTCTGATCCGACAATTCAACGCAGACCAAGACTCATCATTCCTGATACAGAGCTATTGGGGAATTCAGATAAATTTGCTTTTAATGCGCTTGCAGACCTGATTTGATCAAGACTTGAAATCAGCTTGCGTTTTAGCAGCGCTGAGCCATCTCTGTAATGTTTATCTGTTTTGATCTACTTAACAAAGCATCGTGCTTCTTTTCATTTTTAAAAAATTAAACTCGAATAAAACCGGATGCGAAATTGTTCAGCTGTCATCACTGAACTGGTTAAGCATTTCTCTTCTGACAACCAGGCATCTGGCACAGGGATTCAGATCACAGATCTAATCATGGTAATTGGTAAACTGCATTTGAGATGAAGAGCTGTGAGTGATCCTGAATACAGGCCATCAACTTCATGGAAATGAGATGTGTTTGCATAATGAACTGTGCCCATTCAAGCTTAAAAGAAGGCTCATTTGGAAGAGCTCTCAATATATTTTGCATCTAATGCAAAGTTCTCATGAACTGCCATGAACAGGCCATTCTCAGAAAAGAAGTACAGTAAAAAAGGTGACTTCCTCTGGTTCTTACTAATCTGTGAATGACATAAACCTCAAACATGCTGCCAACTCAGATTTATCATCAGGAAACCACACCGTTTTTTAGGGGGATTTAGTTGGACAGAGGCATTCAGCTCTCCAGCAGAGCGCAAAGGGACTTCTAAAGAATCCCCCACTCTAATTGTCTACCCATCTTCACTGGTCTGCTGTTTGATCTCCTCTGATGACTCTCAGGTGACTATTCTGTCATGTATGAGTCTAATACTTTGACAGCTCACTCTATCAGTTGACTGGGAAATATCACAGTGATGTTGCATCTGAAGTTCAGGCATGCGTACTTTCCAGCAGGACTACTTGGATCAGGAGTGGAATGTCTTTAGAAGACCTTGTGCTCTTCTCTATCAGGAATGAAGTTTGCCTTCTTCAATCCATCAAACATCACTGGGAAAACTGTCTTGCTTTCAGCATTTACTAGTTGATTGCTTCAAGTTGAATAAAAGTACAATGGTTTTTGGTGAATTTGTACATTTTCAGAATACGTCCACGTGTTTAAATCAGTGCTTTTTAATTTCTAAGGTTAAAAAATTGTCAAAAGACTTTTCTGCTGGTTTCTGCCATTGAACTGTTTCCAGTGAGTTCCCTCGTTTTTTTTATTCTTCCCACAATCCATTTGTGGAATCCTCCCATTTAAATATATGATAATGTGAGACAATGTTCTCAGTAGCAGTTCTCTGAGGCCCTTCTTTGACATTCAACAACATTCAAAGATAACTTCTTTGAAGTTGAAAGGTGGGTATTCCCCCTCCAGACTGTTACGTTGCCTATCTAAGATAGGCAAGACAGTGGTCTGTAGTCTGGCATGGGTGAGAAATGGTACAGAGTAGCACACCTACCTGCCACTATTGATTGATTGATTTATTGTCACATGTACCTATGTACAGTGAAAAGCTTTGTTTATAAGCAGCACAGGCAGATCATAGTAAGCAAGGACATACAGAATCATACGATGAAAGAAACTAGACAGAGGCATACAGGTTACATTGTACAGGGCGTGTGCTAAGCAAGATCAACATTAGCAAGATCAGCATTATTTGAAATTAGAGAGTCCATTCATCAGTCTAACAACGGGAGGGAAGAAGATGTTCTTGAACCTGTCGGTGCGTGTATTCAAGGTTCTGTACTGACTGCCTGACGGAAGAGGTTGTAGGAGATCATTACCAGGGTGCATTGGGTCTTTGATGCTGTTGGCAGCCTTTCCGCGGCAGTGAGCTGTGTAAATGGAGTCCATGGATGGAAGGTTGTCTTCTGTGATGGACAGGGTCGTGCACACAACCTTCTGTGGTTTCTTACGGTACTGGGCAGAGCAGTTGCCATACCAGGCTGTTATGCACCCAGACAGTATGCTTTCTATGGTGTATCTGTTGAAGTTGGTGAGGGACTTTATGGACATGGCAAATTTCCTGAGCTGCCTGAGGAAGAAGAGGTATTGTTGTGCCTATTTGACCGTCGCACCTACGTGGGAATTCCAGGACAGGTTTTTGGTTATCGTCACACCTAGGAACTTGACACTCTCCACCATCTCAACCTCAGCTCCGTTGATGTAGATGGGAGCGTGTTCTCCTCTTTTCTTTCTGAAGTCAATGAGCAGTTCTTTAGTTTTGCTGATGTTGAGAGAGAGGTTGTTCTCATTGCACCATGTCACGAAGCCCTCTATCTCCTTTCTGCATTCTGACTCGTCATTGTTTGATATCCACCCTACCACGGTGATATCGTGAGCAAACTTGTAAATGGCATTTGTTCGGAATTTGGCAACACAGTCATAGGTGTAGAGGGAGTACATTGGGGGCTGAGGACGCATCCCTGGGGGGACTCCATTCTTGAGTGTTATTGTGGAGGAGCTGCATTTGTCTATCTTCACTGATTGCGGTCTGTGAGTCGGGAATCTGAGGGCTAAGCCAAAACCTAGGTCTCAGAGTTTCGAGATCAGTTTGCAGGGGATAACGGTGTTGAAGGTGGAGCTGTAGTCAATGAGCAGGAGTCTGACATAGATGTCCTTGTCCAGATGTCCCAGGGATGAGTGCAGGGCTAAGGAAATGGTGTCTGCTGTAGGCTTGGTGTATCAGTAGGCAAATTGAAGAGGATCACAGCAGGCTGGGAGTCTAGAATTGATGTGGCCATGACTGGCCACTTGAAAAACTGCATAATTATGGAGGTCAGAGCCACTGGGCAGTAGTTATTAAGGCACATTGCATGTGTTTTCTTAGGTACAGGGATGATGGTGGCCTTCTTGAAGCAGGTGGGGACTTTAGCCTGTAGGAGGGAGAGGTTGAAGATGTCGGTGAATACCTCCACCAGTTGGTCCACACAGGATCTGAGTGCTCGGCCGGGGACTCCATCCAGACCTGGTGCTTTCCTTGGGTTGACTCCCAGGAAGAATGATCTGGCGTTTGAAGTGGTGACAGTGGGCACAGGTGCATCCGGGGCTGTCAGGGCAAGTGACACCGCGCTGCTGGCATTCTGCTCAAATCGAGCATAGAAAGCATTGAGCTCATCAGGGAGGGATGTGTCCTTGTCCGCTATCTTGTTCTGCTTCATTTTGTGTCCCGTAATGTTGATTAGGCCTTGCCACAGACAGTGGGAGTCTGTATGGTTGGTTTGGGCCTCTAAGTTTGTGATTCATTTTGGAAAGTCTAATTTGAATGCAGAATACAGGGTTAATGGCAGGATTCTCAGCAGTGGGGAGGAACAGAGGGATCTTGGGGTCCAAGTCCATAGATCCCTCAAAGTTGCTACCCAAGTTGATAGGGTTGTTAAGAAGGCATATCGTGTGTTGGAGGGGAATTGAGTTTAAGAGCTGCAAGGTTATGCTGTAGCTCTATAAAACCTTGGTTAGACCACACTTGGAACATTGTGTTCAGTTCTGGTCACCTCATTATAGGAAAGATATGGAAGCTTTAGAGAGGGTACAGAGGAGATTTACCAGGATGCTGCCTGGACTGGAGGGCAGGTCTTATGAGGAAAGGTTGAGGGAGCTAGGGCTTTTCTCATTGGAACAAAGAAGGATGAGAGGTGACTTGATAGAGGTGTGCAAAATGATGAGAGGCATAGACAGAGTGGATAGTCAGAGACTTTCCCAGGGCGGAAATGACTATTACGAGGGGGCATAATTTTAAGGTGATTGGAGGAAGGTATAGGGGAGATGTCAGAGGTAGGTTCTTTACACAGAGAGTGGTGGACGTGTGGAATGCGCTGCCGGCAGTGGTAGTGGAGTCAGATACTTTAGGGACATTTAAGCGAATCTTGGATAGGCACATGGAGGATAGTAAAATATAGGGTAGTTTAATCTTTAGAGTAGGATAATAGGTCAGCACAACATCGTGGGCTGAAGGGCCTGTATTGTGCTGTACTGTTTTATGTTCTATGTTTAACTTGGTCTGGTACTGCCTCTTGGCATCTCTGATGGCTTTGCGGAGGTCATTTCTGGATTTCCTGTATAGGTCTGGGTCGTCCAACTTGAATGCTGCATACCTGGGTCTTCAGTTGGGAATGGATTTCCTGATTCATCTAAGGAATGGGGGAGCACC